AACACACTGCGTGTTTCGCCATAGCAACCCTGACATGGCAGCGCTCTGGCATCTATGCAGCTTTAGTTGAGTCCGACTCCCCCAGTTGTACGGAAATATCGTTTACCTCTCCCGGCTGGGCAATTCTAGATGCGGTCACTACTCATGTCAACGAGTCGGGGCCCATAGGCAGCATTTACTTTTCAGTCAACCACCACGCTACCGATCTAATGACTATATGCTCCGCTGAAGGTTGGATAGAGGAAGAGAGTGCAGTTGATGTTATTTGGTATCCTTGCGCGACGCCTGAGACGCAATTTCAGTTTGACCCTGATGCATCTCTGGTTACTCTGCAGACTAATTGGACGTGTACAACTTCTCCGACGTATGTTATCAATGCCCAAATTTCATACATGAATAAGTTAGAATGTTCCCATACTTATACTCTACAATTAGGTTGGAGTTTAGTGCAATTGGCAATACAACCATCCCCTCAGGGCCTCCTTGCCCTGATTCAGGGGGAAAGGAGCTAGACTGTGTTCCAAGGAATATCGAAGTTGAAGCATTTCTTACTTCTCCGGTCGAAATTAATCCAACCAAGCCACAACTTCCTCAGGAGCCTCAGAATGCGACGGGGGGTTGTTCGGTGCAGTCCGTGACTCCAGCGTGGGATGTTGCTGATCTCCTGTATCAGCACTTCTACTTTTCCAGCTTTTCCAACACGGAATTTTACTATGAGCTCTCATTCAACGTGATAAATCAGTCTAATAACGAGTCGGTCATTTGTTCCGGCAAAGTCGATGAGCTGACCACTCAACATTCGAATCATTCAATTCAATGGTTAGACTGTGATAGTGACCAGAGCTCAGGGTCCGGGTCTAGCAGTATCCTTTCATCTCAATTTGCGTTCGACTCCCAGTACAACTTGGTAGGAGTTAAACAGAGCTGGGACTGCCCGGGGGCACTGACTTCGTAAGTGGCGTCATTTTATTGTGACAATTTGGCTCGAATTTCTTACTTATCAAAACCGATGCCAATAAAATCGAACACTCACTAACTCTCAAGTCCAGGGAGGCTTTCACGGGCACCGGATACCTCGTAGAACCACTCAGTTGCGGAAGTCCAGTTAACCAGGCCCATTACGACGGGAACGGACATCTCATCGCCGGCTCGTCCCAGTATAACTGCAGTCTCCCCTCAACGACTCTGTACGGCTACAGTGGCGATCCGCCCGCAATGCCGCACACTTCTTATACCAGAAGCTGCACGATTAATTCATTCAACACCACGTCCCTACTGCTCCAGGGGTACGAGATCGAGGCGTTTACGAACACGAGCGACGGTACGCCGCAGACTGACTCGAGGAAGAATGCCACTTTCACGCTGTTCAATGGTGGCTCTGGTGATACCTATCAGATATCCACTACGAATGTTCAAGACGATGGAATATGGCACGAGTGCTCGCCAACTGGCTCACAGCCATGGCAGTTAGCCCTTTGCCAGTACCTACTCGATCGAGCGCAAGGGATCGTCGCTTTCGAGATCCAGTGGTATTGCGATGATAGGGATCCTGAGCATGCGTAAGTGCTACCAAGACTTCCACTGAACATAATTGTTGAAGCCAACACGCAGTTTAGGATTCTGTTCACTGCTACGGCAGCAGCTCAGCTCCCAGGAGAAGAGTGCGACACGTTTGAGGGGCTAGAGATGGAACCCTTGATCAGATGTCACCTCCCGCGCAACGCGTCAACTGCTATTTTGAATATCGACTCATTGACGTGGGAATCTTCATCAAGTCCGATGGATAAGGGTCCGTCATTACCGGTAAGCGACTTATAGTAAACCCCCTCCTTATCCCCCTTTTGTTTCCGTAGTTACGATTCGACTTCAATAGACTCGAGGAATCTTTCATAGGAAATTCAGCTAATTCACAATAATCTAGTGGATCTAACAGTAACCTGAGTAGCTACCTAGGTACCTACCTACTAGGTAGGTACATATGGCATAATAGTATTATGACCGACGGCATTGTCTTGTAATGCTAGTTGACGAACAACACAAGTCTTTGTATTTCTACCATGCGCCAATTTCAAATACTGAAGCGACAATGCCGTAATGGTAGGAATTGACATGATCCTAAACTAGGTAGAGATGCATTTCTTCACAATGTTTCCATTCTGCTTAAAATCAATCCCATAATTACCTACATACCTGCCCCTTTTTCTAACCCATGCAAAGGAATAAGTAGACACCATCATGAGTTGACTCCAACCCAGCAACCCCTCTCCAGATCAATCCAATTAACAACTCCATACTATTCCCGGCATTGAACAGACCTTCGTGACGGCGCTGCAACCCTAGGATCTCGCTTGACATCATCTCCACTTCCTCATAGCGCCAGCCGCTCTTTTCCGGGTTAGGTTGCAGTTCCCCTCAGTGCAATCCGTATCCGATGCCGCGACCAACGATGCGCTCCTTACCTACTTATATCTCGCGGGGACCGCCTGGGGGTTACTAGGCACTCGGGACTATGATCGCTCAACCTAATACCTAGTGAAGTCTCGGTGTCTCAGTCGCAATGGCAACTCTAGAGCTAGCCTCCTGGGCCACGAACCTAACCTACGCCAACCTCACCACCTCCGTCGTAGACGCGGCCGTCAAGAGCCTCTACAACTGGGCGGGCTGCGCCATCGGCGGGTTCGCACAGGCCGCACCGCAGATCGCGCTCAACACCAGCCTGGGCATGGGCTTCGGCGGGCCGCCGACAGCCAGCATCCTAGGTCTGAACGCGTCGAGCAGCGACGGCGGCTACGGGTTCGCGGACGCGCAGCTCGCCGCGTTTGTGAACGGCATCGCTTCGCACGTCGACGATTACGACGACACGCACCTGGCCGTCACCATCCACCCCACGGGCGTCGTGGCCAGCGCGCTCCTGGCAATCACCGAGTACCAGTCCAGCAGCGCAGCCCCGGTCTCCAGCGCAGACTTCCTAACCGCGTTCGTCGCGGGCATCGAAGCCGAGCTGAAGCTGGGACTCTCGGTCTACCCGGAGCACTACGACGTCGGATGGCACATCACCAGTACCACGGGCTCGATCGGCGCCGCGGTAGCCGTCGGCAAGCTACTAGGCCTAGACACGGCGCACCTGCAGCACGCGATCGGGATCGCGTCCACGCAAGTGGTCGGGATGCAGGCCTTCTTCGGGTCGGACACCAAGTCCTTCCACATCGGGCGCGCGACGCAGGGCGGCATGCTGGCCGCGCTCCTCGCGCAGCAGGGGTACACCAGCTCGCCGACGGCGCTTGAGGACAAGTACGGCTGGCTGCACGTGGTGAGCACGCGGGAGAACGCGACGGCGAACTTCGACGAGCTGGGGCGCTCGTGGGAGATCGAGAAGAACACGTTCAAGCCGTATCCGTGCGGCATCGTAATGCACCCCATCATCGACGGGTGCATCCAGCTGCGCAGCGAGGCGCTCACTTCAGGGATGGCGGTGGATGCTGCGTCGGTGAAGAGTATCGACCTAAGGGTCAACCCAGAGGTGTTGGTGCTGACAGGGCAGACAGACCCGCAGACCGGGCTAGCGGGTAAATTCAGCATCTTCTTCGCGGCTGCGGTCGGGCTGCTGTACGGCGAGGCGACGCCCGCGCAGTTCACGGACGCGGTCGTGCAGAACGAGACGGTTATCGGCATGTGGAAACTCGTCAACGTGACAACGGACGACACCGTGGCCGAGGACCAGGCGTATGTCACGGTCACCTTTAGCGACGGCAGCACGATGGAGAAGTTCGTGGAACACGCGATTGGCAGCTTGGAGAACCCCCTGACGGTGGAGGATCTGAAAACAAAGTTCGTGGATCAGGTGTCGCGGCAGATTGGGAGCGAGAGGGCGGAGAAAGCGTACGATGCTTTCACGAATATCGGAAATATGACTGACGTAGGCAAGATCCGAACGCTCTTCTAAGGGGGATGACGTTGCGCTTGCTGTTGGATGTAATGCCTTTATTCGCTGCCTTTGTAGGCTCCGAAGAATGCCTAAGGCTTTGGTGTTTCAACAATAGAAGCCCTTTTATTCCGCAAAACAATGACTCTGTAATGAACCGAAAGCTATTGTTCTGACTTAGTATAAATACCAAACAGTCCCCGCGAGAACAATACCTTTGCTTAATTTTCTGGAATTGATAGAACCCGAATCACCCACAAACCATCCCAACACCAGCTTCACAAGAGCTGGCCCACACATCTATGAATCCAAAGCAAACCCCAGCCACCGACACCATGTTAAGAACGGACGAGCTCCTCCTCCGAGCGCGCAAGCGCGTGTCCCGCTCGACCTACAAGATGGTGCACCCGACGAGCGGGTGCACGGGGACCGCGGTGCGCAGCGCGCCGGGGCGGCGGTGCAACATCACGATCCGGCACACGGCCAAGTGCCGGTGTCTGGACATGCACATGATCCACATCCGCAAGCACGCGCAGGTGATGTACCAGCGCAACGGCATCAAGCGGCTGCGCCGGGACGACCTCATCATAGCCATCAAGCTGCGCCTGCCGGACGTCGGGTTCCGGGTGCGGTGGCCGCAGCCGCGGAAGCCCGTGGACCCGAAGGAGGCGGGCGAGCCGACGCGCGTCGTGGAGGAGACGCCCGGCGGGCAGCGGATGGTCGAGGAGTGGGACAGCGTGGAGGCGTGGCGCACGAGGAAGATATGGAAGGATTGGTGAGTGAAAGACGACGTCTCTAAAAAGTATGACTTCCCATCTTCAATATTGAAAGAACACCGGGGATAGGTAGGTAGGTAAATGCTAGGTAAGGACTCAGGTAAGTGATTGATAGTTCTGGTAACTACCTGCCCAGGCAGGTAAGAGACATGTTGGATAGGTATATCGTCGAACATGAGTATGCGAGGTACCATATAAGTTAATAAACATCCCACAATAATAGGCTTGAGTTGCACCTGTCAATGATAGAGTATGAGCGAAGAGCAAAAGTAATACGATATTGAACTGAGACCAAAAAATATTGGCCCGGGTGGGATTTGAACCCACACCTTCCATGTGATTTACCACCTGCCAGCGAATGTGGACAGGCAGGGATGGATCATGCTTACCATTACACCACCAGGCCCTCTGAGACAGATGGCAGGGTACCTTATGATTGTTTTGTTATTATTTTGAAATAAATAGCTAGGTAAATAGGTACGTATCTAAGGTATGGGGCGTGTGTTATTGTGATAAGGAGTAATTGCAGTCCCATGGCTTACGCGCAACTTCGTCATCTACACTAGCCTGTACAAATAAAAGGCGATATGGTAGGTGGTCTAGATGCTAATCTTTTGTACAAAATGCTCGTTGATTTGACAGAAATATATACACCGTCATGGCATAAAGCTCGGTGCTTCACTGTACTCGACCACTTCAGCAAGAGCCGAAGGGCGCCATGTGGCACTACTTTCGCCCGAGCCAATATGTATCATCGCAACCACAGGACCGGTGGTACCATCTCCAGAACGGAGTACATCCTCCTGATCGGTCCACACAAGAGAGCCCAGTCTGCGAAGCAGGCGAAACCGTTCGGTACGAACTCCTTCTGCCTCGAGAGGTTTTCCGGTATGTAGGAAGAACGTCTCGAGCTGGTGGAGAGCTTCGAGCACGCAGTCCCGAGACCCAGTTCGTCTTGCTGCCAACACCGATTCTTTGTAAAACTGTTCTGCTGCGGGGAAATCACCCTTCAAGCATTGCACGTACCCAAGCCAAATGCACCGAAAGGATTCGTCTCTTGCCGCAAGGGAACCGGACTCTAGTTCAGATAGAGCTTTTTCGGCTGCATCTAACTGGCCCCGTTCCAGATTCAACTTGCATGTTGCTAATGCATGCTCCAACTTAAGCAAGCCAAATAAAGGCCGATCAGGAAAATCGTCGTTGATTTTTGATAACTGGTTTCCAAGACTATGCAATTGTGTCTCAGGATCTTTCTCCCTTTCCACAACGTCAAAGTGTTGGAGATACGCCTCCACGGTTAAAGGATGAGCTGGTCCTAGTCGCTTATCGAATTCGGATAAACACAGAGCTAAGACTCGCTCCAAAGCTTCTTGTTGGTCAAGAGTTGGGATCGCCACGAAGCCTTTCCAGAACGTCACAAGAGGATGATCCTGACCATATATGGCTATAGCGAGATCCCGGCAAAATTGCAGAAGCAAGGCTCGTATTTCCCCTCGCCCAACCCGATCGAGATGAGCGGCACCTGAAAGTAATTTTGAAATCAAGAAGGGCGGCGGATTCCTGAATACTCTGATTAGCATGGAAAACGGGACGTCGAGAGCTCGCTGAATGGCAAGTGGTTCCACTTGACGCGACATTGATAGCCCTGCAGTAATACATCTGTCGAGTACTGAATTAAGAAGCCCTGTAGGTCCATATCGGCCGCGGGTATTCCAGCAGCGGCTATCTGACCAGGACCAGAGACCGGTTTCGAAACATCGGTCTAGATAAAGGTGAAGTGCTCGGAACATGTCCTCGGAAATTGGGAGGAGCCTGTTACACCGCACTGTCGGGGTTAAGCACCGAGGCAGGGACGGAGTTTGTCCGGAAACCAACGTCGACGGACTTGATTCAGGCGATCGACACGCCACATCCCGAATTGCCTCTAGATTGGGTGTCGTTCCAGCCTCAAGCTTGGCGAAAACGGAAGGGTTCCGCGACAAATATACTTGGAGGCTATCATGATCTACTTCTCGATTCCTGATCAAGAAGACCGATGGTTTCTGGGCTGCGTCGCGCTCTTTCTTCAAATAGAGAATCCGAAGAACCTCATCTGACCGAAGATTTTTGAAGGCATTCCATTCTGCAAGTTTCTTCTTGTACATTGGAACGCTGTCTCGCGTCAGTCAAGCCTCTTAGTCCATCATTGTTGAGTCGACTCATACGTAGCAAAGAACTCATGGTGCTCCTCCATATACAGCTTGACATCTTCTAGGGTTTTGTCGTTGTCAAGATACAAGTGGGTAATAACGGACTGCAACCTCGTCCAATCTTGAGACGTAGCATAGCGTTTCGCTGGCGTATTCATCTTTCATCGTGACTGCTTTAGACAGACCAATCCCAAAGCGAGAGACCTAGATCTAGAGGCCTCCGATGAGGAGCTATATATAGTATTTCGATGCATTTCCCAACGCTGACTACAGACCAATATGAGGCTCTAAGACGGGTCGACTCCTAACCAGATTAGCAAGATGCAGCATGAGAACATCCGTAGGGCGGAACAGGGCTATAATATGCGTTTACGCTGATTGGTTAGGCGAGAAAACTCGAGCCAATAGCGGCAAAGGTTACCTGCAGCAGGATCGTTTCAGGGAACATGTAAGCTGAAAACAAGTTGCCGCGGAGTTGGATGGGAGCTGAAAAACGGCGGGGATGCAAAGAACTAATTCCTCGATTGGATACCGTAACGGCATGTGAGGAATCTGGAAGGCAAGCTAGCCTCTTTCTTGAAATTATCGATACACTTTTTTGCCATCTGGTACGCTGACCGAAGTTTGTTGAAGCCGATTCCGGATCGCATCCGGTCGCAAGAGTTCGTCATGTGTTTCCTTACCAGGTCACCACATCTCTGGGTAGAGAGTGGCGGTCACCTTAACAGGATACGTGTAGGGGGGTGACCACGATATTTTCATAGGTAATACGATAGATAACTGCATAAACTATCGTTTCCGTCAGCTCACCTCTGATCGATTGTAGCGGGCACTTTACCTAATCCAGGTATAAGAACTTAAGAAGAGAAAATGCGGAGTTTTGGAGATGGAGAGATGGGTTGCACAAAGTGGGGGTTATTTACAATTCATCTCATTGGCTACGCTTAATTGACAATCGCGCTCCACCCCCCTTCCAGACGCGCTTTCTTTAGCAAGTCGCGTCTCCAAAAGTCGCTGAACTTAATGAAAACTTATTGAGTTAGGTACCTAATTCAGTAAATCTTCACTTTTCATAATTATTGCCAGCATATCAGTCCATACCCGCCAATATGCTTCGACAAGATTTCAATCGAATCGACCCCAAAAGGCGAAATACCGTCGACCACCGCAAGAAGCAGTTTGCCGAACCAACCTACCAGCAAACGGAGTACCCGTATCGTCTAAATTTCTACGAGACGCCTCCAACCGCCGACATAACGCTGGAACAATTCGAGCAATGGGCCATCGACAGACTACGAAGTATGCTCGCGGTTAATCTCCCTACAGATTTTGGTTCCAAAACTAACAGCAACTCATCGTAGTTCTCGCCGAGATAGAAGCATGCTCGTTCCGCAACAAATCCCACGCCGAGACGGAGGCACACATGCTCCCGCTGCTCAACAAATACATGCCGCTCGAGTCTAACTCTTCCGCCTCGACGAAACTATCTCTTGAGAGGCAGAAAGACCACTACAGTCACTTCATATTGCGACTTGCATTCTCGTCGACCGAGGATCTACGGCGGAGATTTAGCCGCGTAGAGACTATGCTCTTCCGTCTACGGTTAAACCAGGACAGCGCGCGCGAGCGAAATGATTTCATCCAAAGCCTAAGTTTGGACTGGGAACCTGTAGCGGAAGACGAAAAGACGAAGTACCTAGCCGAATTAACGGCAACGACCGGTCTAAGGAAAGGTGGCGAAGACGAGACTTGGTTCAAGGTCGACTGGGAACGGGTACCAGACTTGGTAGAAACCAGGAGGGTATTTTTAAGAGCCGGCAAAGCTTTCGTACCTTCCAAGGATCTGCCAAGTATGGTGATCGCTGAATTCACCAAGAGATTAGAACGCGCGTTGGAAGTAAGAACCATCGGGTACCTCGTTGGTGGAGTTATACAGCCTAGACTAACTCGTCCATAGCTCACAGCCCGTGCTTTGCCACGCCTAGACGAGGACGACCGACTTACCCCTATTCTCGACCACTTATCCAAGAACTTCGTCACGCCCGACGCTTCATACAGCAGCAGTACTTCCACAGTCCCCGGTGCCGAGATCACGGCGCGCAACGTGGACAGCCTATCGCAACATTTCCCAGCATGTATGCAGCACCTACACCGATCACTACGCCGGGACGCGCACTTGAAACACTACGGTCGTCTACAATACACGCTCTTCCTAAAGGGCATCGGCCTGAACCTCGAAGAGTGTCTGATCTTCTGGCGCACTTCCTTCCACAAGGTCACCGACGACACCTTCAACAAGGAGTACAGGTACAACGTGCGCCACTCGTACGGCGACGTCGGAGGCGACTCGAACCGTCGCGGCGGTGGCTACTCGCCCTTCTCGTGCCAGAAGATCTTGACGGAACATCCACCTGGACCAGGCGAGGCCCACGGATGCCCGTACAGGCATTTCAACATGGAGAATCTGACCGCGTTGTTACAGCAGACGGGTGTTTCAGACCACTCTGTTTTACGTGGTGTCAAGGAGGACAAGGAGAGCCAGAAGTTCCATATGGCTTGTAATCGGTACGTTTACCTCTATTTTACAATTGATCCTACATATAGTGTCGACTAACACGTTGGTCAAGTGTATTCGAGTACGTGCATAAGAACGAGATCAAGAAGGCGAAGGACGAGAGTATCATGACCTCTGCCCAGCTTGAGACCATTGTTCATCCCAACGAGTACTTTAAGCGAAGTTTCCTACTAAAGAACCTAGGAAAGGCGAACAATGGTGATGATGTGAAGATGGAGGGCTATAATTAGCCAAGTACATTAATGGTGAACAGGGCAAAATACATTGCCCACAAAGACACGTATGATACTAGAAGGAGGGAATGTGTACCAGCAGCGTTACGGTGTTCTACAATATAGTACGGACATAATTCAATGCTCATAATTTTCAGCTATCATCATGGACCCCTTCTAGAAGCCTGTTCTAGAAGGTGTATTCCAGAAGCCTAAGAATCCCAATCAACGCACGTGCTGATGATGAGAAGTTTACAAAGCGGTAAGAATGATACCCCGAAGACGATGACGACCTCCTGACAAACTCGAGGAGCAAACCCATCCGCCCGGTCAGCCAGTACAATACATGCCGGCGCAACCAGTACAACCTCAGAATAGTCAGCTTTCGGAGTCGCCGGAGGGTGCTCCTTACCTAGGTAGATATCGCGCA